AAGCCCTCATGGTGTTTTGGTAAGTTCCTAAACAGTTGAATTTGGGAATAGAACAAAAGGTTACTTGATTATCAGCTGAGATATCAAGTTGCTTTATTTCAACCTTCCCGGTAGTTGTTCCATGTAAATCACAATGCCAGTGAGATATGCTCTTGCAATGCTGGTATCTCATATCAGGCTATCCGGGTTTAATTTCTCCTACACAGATACCATATTAACACAGTTGAATGTTTTCTGTTTATTTCATAGTAATTTCTACTTGTTTCTGCTTGTTGCCAGGTTACTTCCTACTTAAAGTAGGGTCCTGGGGTGTAGCCCCTGAACATTTTCTTTTACCATGCCCTCTAGTTCTTCAGAAATGCCTTTTTTGAGCAGGGGCCGCACAGAAGCAGGTGGGGGGATTGAGCAGTGGAGTACCCAGGGGTCTGGGGTGGAGCCCCCAGAATTTTTTGGACCACGCCCTTCAGACACTCGCAAATGCAAGGAAGCGCCCTTTTTGCAAAATTTCCCCCTATTATTTGATTAATGTTAGCTACGGTAAATAGCAAAGTATTTTACAATTGTTATTGACACAAGCATACAATATACTACACCCCTCCCCCCAATGAGTTTTACATCATTTTTGGAAAAATCTCAAGAATCATATTTTAGAAAAGTGGGGGTGTTCGGACCCCCCTATTCCCCCCCCCCCCTTGGGTACACCACTGGGATTGAGGGGGCTTTGTTTTTCGCCATTCTTTTCAGTTTTTTATTGAGAAAAAATGTACAACAGTACATAATCATGAATAATTTAATCTGGTGCACTTGCGCTGAGCAAATGATCGCAAAAGTGCACAGCACTGTGGACCAGGAATGCAGAGGAAGGTATGCAGGTGTACAAGTAAGCAGAGGAGCATCGTAGTTTAACTGCAACCCCAAATATCATTCTTGAGAAAAAGCTACTCTGCTCTGACAACTCCGATTGCAATCTGCTAAATTGAAACTCTAACTTAAGGGATATTATGCTCCTCTTTTACATTTCCAATAAATTTACAATGTGTCATAGTTGCAAAAAAGCTAACCTGATATTAGTGTAGGCTTGCCAATAAATGTAACATCATTTTTCCAACCTGTGCGAATTTGCTTTAATCTAGTCATCTTATTATCTAGTTGCTGTTATTGTTCTAACATGCCTAGTTAGGAAAGAGGGATTTTGCTACAATTTGGAATAAAATTGAAAAATTTAAATGAACCAAGAAGTTTGTTGAGGATTCTGCTTTGATGCGTGTGAGCGTGAGAAAGGACCAAAATGCATGTGTCTCACGCAAAATGTGTGTGACTTGGTAGGTCTGTAAGTCATTTCCTGTTATAGTAACCATGGGCCCTGGGACTTAAAATAATAATATAATTATAATAATCAATTTATTTAAAGTTGGCACTACATAGCTATTTACAGTCAAATGAGCTAATCCAAGCCAACTGAATCCAAGCTAACTGAAAATGGAAGTTGAGTCAAGAAGATCTCAAAATATCCTAAGTCACCCTCACTTATTCTGGTATAAATTGCTCTTTGGAAAGTCTTTGCAGTCGCGACTAGGATCATTTTACACTGTTAAATAACTAATACCAAAGCAATGTCTTTGCAGCAACTCCTTCTTTTGGCCATATCTGCACACATACATCTACTTTCATTTAGACGTAAACAATCCACTTGAACAGGCACTCCTTATTATAGCAAAGTTCAAACGTCATTGTTACATTAAATCGTATGAGAACGGAATTTTCGATCACTGAAAACGCCCCATTGATGTCCAAGAACCTTTTTGAATTTCCTTTAGCTTCTTGTGGCCTAGCCTGATCAAGTGTTCTATCTGTAGGAAGCTCGTCTTTTTCATCTTAGCTTTTTCTTTGAACTCGTTTCGTATGTAATCTTGGAGTCCTGGAGTTCTTTGCCCAGCACGTAATAGGTTTCGATACAAGAAAAGCACTTGTCTCTGTAACTGGCTTCGCTTCGCCATTTTAAATTACGCAATTTTCAGAAAGCCTCGCATTGAAATGATTAAATGATATTTGTTCACTGATCTAGTGCAAAGGCCCCCCCCCCGGCCCCCCTTCGTCGGAGGCCCTGCAACTGAAAACTTGGCATTTTCATTTTATAACAGTAACAAATTTTCGAAGATACACGAGAAGGCTTGCTTTGAAGAAATCTTGGAGAGAATTGTAGGAAAGTGAACCATTTAGCATAGAATTCTATGTGATCTTCAGTTTGTTTTCAGGGAAGGAAAATCAAAAACACATGCCAGGCGCGGATCCAGACCGGTTCCACAGGTTTCAGAAAACCGGTCAAACTCTCAGAGCTATGTTTCTCTGTGAATCTTGAATTTTTATCTAAAATTTCAATTGCAACATTGCTGCTTTTGTCCCAGGCCGAATAAAGGTCTTCTGTTTACATACTCAATTGAACCCCCACACAATTCCTTATTTCTTAACGACAGCTCTCCCTTGTTGCACAGATTCCGACAGAGTTTCCTAATTCATATTTTATCCCAAAGTATCCGAGGAATTCAAAATCGAGGAAATCAGTGGCCATTCGAAGTTACAATTTGGAGTATGCTATTTTTATGCAATAAGTTTTATGTTTTATTTAGTTTCGTGATATTCAGTTGCCTGTTCTTTTGATGTTCTTGATAGTTCCGTTGTTTGTCACCTTGCCATCAACATTCCGTGTTATTGCATCATTCCATCGCCACTATTGTTGTCATCAGTCCTTTGTTGTTTGAAGTAATTATTTTGTTATCGTAATTAAGGTGTGTTGTCATGTGATTTTTATGCTGTGCCCTTGTTTGTGAATTTAGTCGTTATGTGAAGCCGTGAGGTTAAGTCGAGTTTTATCGTTCAGTTGAAGTCGCTTATAGTCGCATTTAAAGTTGCCGTTAAATGAAAGTCGTTTAGTTATTGCAAGTTAAATTGAAACCGTAGTCGATTGGATATCTAATAGAAAACTTTTGTATATATTTTGTTGTCCTTCTTTCGTCTACGTTCATCTGTAAAACCATATAGTTTTACACTATCTATGCTCCAATTTTGAAACCGGTGGCTATTGTTTTCTGGAAACCTGTGGAAACCGGTGCCCATATGTTTCCCTTAAGATTGGTTTCCACTATGAGTTAACGTGAGATAATTTTGAGTTAAATTGAAAATTAAGTCATGGTTTAAATTCAAGTTAACTTCAGATATTGTGGAAATTGAAAATTGCTGACATCGTTAAAATACTGATGTGTATATATCATTGGCAAGCTTTCTTTCAGGCGAGCCCGAACCTAGCGTTTATATTGAAGTCAGACGTATACTTAAGAAGTTACAATGATTTTGAGTTTAGGAAACATAACCTTTTTGACGTCATCGGTAACGTGACTTCGATGAATTTTTGAAAATGTTGTAAGGGCTTAAATTATTCGTTATACCATATTGTTCCATAATCAGCCGAGAAAACAAAGGTTAGGCAAGCCGGTCGAAGGTTGAGAGGAATGCCCTGCCTATGTAAGGGGAGAGAGCACCCAAAAACCGATCAAAATTTGGCTAGATCCGCGCCTGCATGCCCTGCTAGATCTCTTTGATGCAATGTATATCGATGAAAGAAAATGTCGTCTTGGTTTTTTCATTGATTAATCTAAAGCTTTGGATACAGCTGATCATTCGATACTTCCACAGATGCTTTATCGTCACCACGTACGTTATTATTGTTAAATAGATAAAACTCAGTGGAGTAAATATCTACAACATTTGTAGGTTTAAGCCCATTGAAGATAAACGATGTTCCTGGGGGCCCCATTAAAGAGAAACCAGGTTGGGAACAGTTTATTTTTAACTAAAGGTAACTCTGGTCCGTTACTCCACTGATTTTTCTCTTTTTACAAAAATACATGAACATTAGAATATCAACAAAAGAACTATACTTCTAAAAAAAGGTTGAAGTTGTACCAAGGTCATAATTTTTTAGGGGGCGCAAAAATTGGTGCAGTGTAGCCAATTTTGAGCCACTACACCACTGCTTTACATTCTACTAGTTCGCAAAGTTGGCCCCCCGGTTAGCCCCCCGGTTAGCCCCCTCCTAGATTTTTAAGGCTACATCCACCACTGACAACGTAATCAATTTCTGTTGTTTCAGTAATAGCCATTAGCCCCTAATTTTGGTAGTAGTACTAGTACCCATGTTTTGAGTTTAAGGTTAGAAAACCATTGACAAAATGAAGACAAACAAATTTATCTGCACAAGCTTCCATGATTGTCTCACTTCATTTTGAAAAATTGGGGACTTCACTTCAATTATTTTTTCTGTTTCAAAAATAAAACCATATGGGCTTGCTTCTAACCATGGTCACTTTGGATTAATAGCAAATCCAACTTGTTCAATGTTTGCTATGTCTGACTTCTCGCCATAAGCATCCAAAGCATTTTTTTCGTTTTCTAATCCCCAGTCACAAGCATTGCTACTTAATTTTTCCTAACTAAGCCTAACTGTCATTTCCGTTGATCAAAATTGCATCCACTAACCCCTTTCTCAATGAAAGTAAATCTTGAAATGGCTTTGAAAAAAGCAAACATTTTACAACATATTGGCTAAAAGCTTTTTCGTCTGACACTCCTCAGAGCATAAAACGTCAGAATAAGGGTCCGAAAGAACACTTGAATTAGAAACTTAAACTTCAGCACTCGAAGCAAAAAATTACGAAAAAGTCGATTTTTGAAAAGACCAGAATTCAGAAATTTCTTGAAAATCCAACAATGTGATTTGCGGGTTGGCATTGATATTTACCTACAGAGAATGAAAATATATTTCCCTCATCCAAATATTCTTGACAAAAATTTCAAGAAATTTTGAAAAACAATAGAAACATCGATAATTGGCTTTGTTTGCAGCTGTGACAACCCTTCCCAAAAAGTATCTTTAAGAAAATTGACTATCGGACCCCGAATAATAAAAATATGGACCGGATGTCATAATTCAATTCAATTCTTAACCACAGATTGAAATTTCCCTTTTGCCCGTTGGTTGGCGAAGACACAGGTTTGGCACGTCTCCACCAGTGATTGAGTCATATTGTTTCCGCATTGAATAAAGGCAAGATAGGAGGTTATAATTCTCAATAGATCGCCGGAGCGCAGAGGAATAAACGTGGTAAGTTATTTGTACATTCCCTTGATGTATCGACTCTAAAATTTAGCCTCCTAGACCTTTACTTAACGACAAATGATATCAAATTTTAATTTGTCAGCCACCTTTTGGCATAACTTTGCTTTCAGTATCAATTTTAAGTTGCCTATATATATCTGTCTATTCCCTTCTGTAAAATATGTTGAAAAGAGATTAAAATGTGTAAAATTGAATAGTGTGACGTGATGACCAGTGCTTCTGCTCACTGCGATGCATTTTTCTGTATCGTAAACAGCGCTGGGATACGAAGGCATATTTGATCTAATTGCGTCGATACACTAACTTATGCAAAACACCTTGTTGCATCTGGGTATTTCGCTGATACACTAAACTCAAACACTTACCTACTGCAAAACTTCTTAAGTTTTCTTGTAGGCAGGTCTAGGGAAAAGCCTAGTACTAAAAAAATTCGTCTAACAATTGATACATTCAGCATGCTTACATGCTATCGAAACCTACGCTTAGGCAATGCTTGGGTTTACGTGGTTTCTAAGGTCCCTGTAACCAACGGGTTGGGTAAAACCGCAATCCTGCCATCACTGGAAGGCTGAGGTACGTACAGTCTGGTAGGGTACATTGAGAAGTAACTAATTCCAGTAAATACGATTGCTTTGTTTAGTGGTGAGAAAATTTGGGTAGCGCACACGAAAGCACCATTTAAACCCATAAAATGTAAAAGAAAAAAGGCAGTAAAAGTGACTGATTAAATTTGTCAAGAAAACAAACAACATCTCCAAAAAACTGAAACTTTTGTATTTTGATACCCTCTTCAAGAGTGAAGTTAGTATATTCACATTTGATATATCTCAAAACAAACACGCTGGTGCAGTAAATGATTGATTTGCACAAAATTCTTTCTTACACAATCTAGAAAACAGACAAGCAGTAAAAAACTTTTCACTTTCAATAATAAAGCATGACATCATATATTAAGATCTATTTTTGAAGTTTTTAAATTTTAACCACATAGCCTGAAAAGTCATAACTTGGTTAAAAATCCACTCTCCTAAATTTGCAAAGTCAGTAGAATATATAATAACTCAGGGGAGATATAGCTAACAAAAGATTTCAAGTTTGCTAAGGGATGGTTACTTTTATTTTGGCTTGGTTTATAAAGTTATGAACAGAGACCAAGCTACAGAGGTATAATTAGGAAAAGAGCCTTTTTCACAACAATTTTATTGATGCGACTATATTTGCTTTTCTGTTTGTTGAATGAAAGCTTTCCTAATCCTCATTGAAATTATTGAAAAGTGTGATTATTTAATCCATGCGGTAATCAGCAGCCCTGGTCATGGTATTAGCCTCCGAAAAATATTACCACTGCCCCAAAATTCCTTTGTCTGTTGTGGCCTGCATGACCTAAATTTCTTTTGTTGAGTCATGATAACCAATGGGTGAACAGGAGTAAGGTATTAGTTTTTCATTTCTAATACTATGAGGGCCACTGTCAGTGGAAGCGAGGGTGGACAGAGAAAAAACAATGCTGGAAATTAACTTTATGAATTTATAAAATGTAGCTGTACTTTTGCTAGCAATGCCTTTGGATGGATAATTTGATTGACAAAATTTAGACACTGAATATAAAGAGCAAAAGTCACGAAATAATTTGTTTAAGCTAAATGCAGTTGCATTGCATGAAACTTTGATTCTATATGTTATGCAGGAAGCTAAGCATCAAAAAATACTCCATAGAGTCACAGGCAATATTCTCACATTTATTACTCTCGGTGTCTTACGTTTTGCGCTGCATTTCTCTAAAGTAAATTGCTTGCTGTATCGTAATAGAATCTCATTTGCGGGCCAAAAGCCTCATGGCATTAGAATTAATGGGCTAGTACCTTGGGGCTCCAATACTCAGCAGCAAACCGCTGTATCAAAATAAGATTTCACTCGGGTAGTTTGCCACAACCATAATCCATTTATATTTTGTAGGACCCATCCTTCACCCAAAATTAGTTGGAGTGAGGGCCGTCTTAATTTTAGAGCAGCCATTCTTAAACTCCGCAGCAAAATTTCATCCGGCCTGCCAAATGCTTTTTACCTCGATAATAATTTTTGCCAACATTTCCAAAATTTGGAATTCGATTTATCTTTGGTTTTCTTTTGTCCCCTCTGATATTTTTTTTCTCTGTAGTAAATATTAAATGCGTTCCATGGACAGTTATTAGTCCAAAAGGGAGTACCAAAATAGGAAATGCTTTATTTAATCATTTTATCGTTTCATAGCGTTTCCTTTTTCATTTCAACAATAAGAACTATGGAACCTAGTTATGAAAACTTTAAGAATATTGCCTTTAATTTTCTCCTGTTAAAATCTATTTGAGGTCTTGTTTCTGGCCATTCGTAGATAAATAAACCAAAAATTTTTCTTGCTGCCAACCATGGTGGCGGCCTTGACTAAATACATCCACAAACATAAGATTTTGGCCTTTCTTTAAAATACGCTGTGCAGTCCCTCGACCTGACTTCAGGCACTTCTAGCCTAAAAATAGCATAGAATGATCTTCTGACTCTCTTCTGACTCAAGTTACAAACCTTTGTGAAAACTATTTTTTGGGTTGATGCGAAGGTAGATGAGATAGGCAGGCACGAAATAAAAGGCCTGTCTATCTTATCACTAACTTAGCCTGGTTGAAATGAGATCTGAGTTCTTATTTAGATCAGCTTACACAAGGTATGTAAAAGTTGAAAACCAACTGGCCATCGAAGAAAATCTATATGTTTTTCTGGCCCAGCATTTAAAATAATTAAGAACCCCTGTTTTAGAGGCTAATACCAAATACTTTTCTACTCCCAGCCGCCGCTCTTTTGAAGCAAAAGGTTTTAAAGCTGCAGTAAAAGGTGAAAGAAGCCTTGGCCCCTGGCTTTTCCTAGCCTTGGCTCCCCCCCCCCACTTTTAGATTCTTGGAGTGGGAGCTGCATTTCTCAGCCAATTCGTAACATCTTAAACTGTTTTTGCACCTTAGAGTATTTAATGATGCTCTCTCAGGTTATTGAATCCAAATTCAAAAATTCTAATAAAAAATATATTTTTGTGACATCATAACTTATGAAATATATAACTAATATATCAGATATATCAGATACTGAATAAAAAAACAATTGTTAATTATTCAAGGATAAGTATTTTGGAACAGTTTACCCTCCAATGTGAAACATTGGAAATCTAAGTATAAGTTTTGATTTATTTACATGAATAATAATAATGAATGTTCATTTATATTTTAGCACTGTTCACCAATTTTGGTGGCTTCAAGTTTCACTATTCACCAATTTTCTAATTTTTTAGGTTAGAACTTTGTTTAAAGGTATCCCACTGCCCGCATTTCTTTCAAAATTTAGAGAAAAACACTTATCAGAAACATTTTCCCAAGCTTTTGGGGCTAGCCCCTGACAAGAAAAGAACACACTAATCCAGTGCTTCATATGGCTCAACTTTTCGAAGGAAAAAAACCCACTCATTGGTCATTTGTTCTTGTTAGGTGCTTGAATCTTGTAAAGCTGTTTGATTTTGTAGCTTTTTCTGTTCCTCTTTGCTTTCTTATGACCATTTTGTTTTGCCACTTGTTGCTTTTCCTGAACAACTACTCACCAAAATTTGTGTCAATTTTTTCAATAACTTGTTGACCATGTTTCAATTTTAAGCCATTCGTGTTATGAGTTTTTTTAGGTTGATCAACCTTGTACAGGTTTCAAAATCTTGGCAATCATATAATTTTTCACTTTAAAACAAGTGAAACTTTAAATTTCAATAGGTGAAAATCATGTTTACTTATGTGGTTTTCATAACATATGTTTTGTTAGGGTCACATACATTGCACATGTCTCCATGTAGGGATTAGAGCTCACCATCCTGTAATTTTTGTCAACTCATATTTTTCAGATTACTGGTTGCCAATAATCAAGTATTTGTAATTATTTGAGCAATAGATATAATCAACTAAAACATTCCTGAAAATGTTGTTAACGTTTTGAAAATGCATTCAGAATTTTCTCATTTGCGAAGCTCATTTTTTCCTCTGAACACTTAAAACCATTTTATAATAGTCTTTTGATCTGAAATGTTTACACAAAAGGAGGTAGGAATAATTTCTTGCTAGTACAAATTTTGAGCTTTGAAATTGCCAAAAACATTTAAACACATATTTAATATTTTCATCATGGCACTCTTTGGAGTATAAAACGCCAGAATAATGATCTAAGTTTCTAATCTAAGAATGATATATACCGTGTTGTGGGTCAGTATAGCCCAGTCAGAGACACCAGCACATGACTGTTTAGTCTGCCCAATCAGTACCAATCGGCTTTGGAATATTGCCAATGGAGTAAAAGGGTTGAAGCAAACTCTCTCTTCCTACACTGAAGTATTATGTTTTCATTTTCTTTTCTGAAAATTGACTTTATTTAATACAATCATTTCTGAAAACTGACTATCTTAATTTCCCTCTGGAAGTTTACTCCACACTTATTCTCTTAAAATTGGCTTTATATGTAAATTGGGTTAGATACAAGCTGGCATAATTCTAGGTATACTATCAAAAAGTGTATTATTTATTATTTTTGTAATTTTTTATCAAGACTTCATATGGATGTTGCTTTTAATATTAATTTGATTTTCTTTGGCCTCATTTTCAGATCATCAAAGAATTGAGTTAAAGTTGTTAATTGCTGTTCATTAAAAATGGATGAAACAAAGCAAGATATTGGCAATAGTGAGTACTGTTTGTTTTCCATAACCACTTTTTAATTTTTGGTCTGGATTTGCAACAAAGGTACAAACACATAACTGAAAGTTACAATTAAAATAAATAAGTTCTTTTACTATACATTGAATCATCTACTTTTGGATCCTCTCAAAACAGCACATTCAGATTCTAGACAAACTTCTCAAATGCCCTGAATATGCCTTTCACAACTCTACTGCAGCTTAAATGTGTTGACATTTTTTTGCAATGTTTCTGATTTTAAGGGGTTATAGGTTTGTTCAATTCTCAGTTTGTGAAAGGAGGACCATATTTCTATCTCCAGGGATGGGTTAACTATATATTAAACAAACTAAGCCTGGACTGCACAAAGAGCACCACTTGAAGTTAAGAATCCTCATCTTTTTAAACATTCTGTGTCCCTCTGAACTTGATTACCATAAAGAGACAGTTTGTGGGAGCCATTGGCTCTCTGTGTAAAATCCATGAATTCAAGTGTTAAAATGCAAAGAAAATCCTTTTGCTTAGAAAAGTGATTCAGTTTAAGTTATGTAGGATGCCATTGATCAAAAGATAATTTCTAACTTTCAGTGCAAGCACCACCACCATACAGTCAGGAACAAGGATATCAGCAGGGCTATTCACAACCAGGATATGGGCAACCTTCGCAGGGGTATGGGCAACCTTCGCAAGGGTATGGGCAACAGCCTTCACAATACCCAACAAGCCAAGCACCAGGGTATCCTCCAACCAGCTACCCTCCAACCAGCTACCCAGCAACAAGTTATCCAGGAGGGCAAGTTCCATACAATTATCCACAGGGTTACCAGCCTGCTTCTACTCAAATGGTGAGTTGATATAATTAAGTCTTATATTACATCTATATTACAGCTTCCCCTCTCTGCCACACAATTAGTAACAACTACACCGAATCAATGTGTGACAAAGACCCCAGATCCAAGTGGTATTTTGTTTTTCCGCCTCTGGTACTCTATCCCAGGGATGATTAATGATTGCTGATGCATAACAACCCCTGATGATGCATCATATAAAAATATATCTTTTCCCTATGCAAGACACTGACCAGATACCATACAATGATAAAAAGCCTTATGAATCTAATTGGCATTGAAGCATCATCTGCAAAGTTGAAAACTTTCAGAAGGCTGAACATTGCATGCAAGGCTTGAAAAACTACCCAACCATACAACCAGGCGGTCATAGGAAGTTATTTATACATAAAGTTCTGAAGGAAATTTTTTTAAAATATACCCTTTTGAATAAAGCACCACTGTTTGATAAAAATATATATACCGTTTTTTATCAGGCTTACAAAGCTTTGTTATAATTTGTAGAATTCTTTGAAATTCTTAAAAGTTTTTGTTACATTGATAAACCAAAAACTTCTGTTGTATATTGATTATCATTGCAATTTTTTTACTGATTAAAATATGTTTTTCTCTTATGCTTTTCACAGTTGGTTTCTTCTCAGGGTTCTGACATAAATTTTCATCAAATAGTAATTTTCATCATTTACTCTGATAAAGCCTTGCATGCTGGGGCAAAAATTTAGTTGTACATGTCATCATCATCATTAGCCTGTCACACCACTGCTGGCGGATGGCCTCCACATCTTTCTCCACTCATCACGGTTTTGGGCACTCTTGGTCCACGTGCTGCCTGCCTTCTGCTCGATCTCATCTCTCCATCGTCTCTCTGGTCTTCCCTTTCCTCTCTTCCTGTCCCATGGAGTCCATTCTGTCGTTTTCTTAGCCCATTCGTGGTTCTTCATTCCTGCTACATGTCCTGCCCACTTGCCTTTGGCTTCAATCACTTTCTCGATGACATCCTTCACCCCTGTTCTTGATCTTAAGTCTTCGTTTCTGATCTTATCTCTCCTCGTAACACCCAGCATTGATCGTTCCATGCTCCTCTGGGTGACTGCCAGTTTCTCTCTTTGGCAGAACTCTCGTTGGTAAGTGACCATGTCTCAGCTCCATACGTCATTGTACATTTGTACATTTAATGTTGTTTATATTGATGCTTGACCTCATCACCCAAAAGAACTGCAACCCCAATTGATCTGCATTTGTACTTTTCCACCTGCCTTCTTGCAAACATAAATATAATTGCTGTAAATTGTTATTACTAAGAATCTATTCCAAATTAATTTTGACAGTCTCTTTAATGAAGAATAATTTTCAGTCACCAAAACAGAAAATGATTTTGAAGTGGTGGTAAAATTGCTCAGATCTTTATAAATGTAGCTTATGCTTTCATTTACATATCATTACAATTTTTGAACTTGCCATTCCTTCTTTTATCTTCCTATTCATGCATGAAATTTATACACAGATTCCGTCCAGTTGCAGGAAGGAAAAAAATTTTCATGGCCTCCCAGGCCTCTCCGGAAATAAAAAGCATGCGGGCTAAAAAAGACCCAGGGTTGCTGGTTTGGCTGCGTGGGCTATTTAGCCCTTACAGATATTGTTGTTTATCTATTTATATTTGAGTATATACAAGCCAAAAAATAAATTATCTTGTCTACTTGTAAACATGATTTATGTTAAGAAGACAGTTTTGTGTGCATTACTACTCCTTAAAATGACAAACGAGATATCTGGTTTTTTGCAAAATAGCAACGTTTTATGTTGAAACATAGATTTATTGAGTAGTATCCAAGAGCAGTACAATGTTATTTAAAGGATAAAAAAGATAAAGTTGATTCGCATTAAAAATTCAAGAAAGAATAACTGAAATACACTTTTTTTATAAGAGATGAAGGTCGACTTCGAGTACTCCAGTTCCTTAACGGTATAGCAAATTCCAATACTCATTCTTTCTTAAGACTTTCTTAATCTGAAAACAGCACGTAAGAGCGAAAAAATTACATGAAAAAGATTGGCAGATAACATACACATAAACCTTAAAGAGAAGCAGAAATGTGGATTGAAAGTAGCGAGAGAGTTCAGGAAAAGGGTAAATGATTGGTTCTTTTTTTTTGACAAATCAGAACCGTTTAAATCTCACCCAGTTGAAGAGTCAAAGAGCAAAAACGAATTATTTCTGAAAGTTTTTTAATTTTTTCCGATTGCCCAGTTTTCGTTTCTTGTAGCGTGTTTCTTATTAAGAAATGAGTGTATTCATAACACAAATTTCTTACTTTACAATGTCATGTAACAATTCTCATTCTTGCAATTCTACGCTATCTGTTGTTTTTTTCCTGCACACTCATTATCTAGTTTTATAAGGTTAACGTTAACATTTGATGTCGAACGAAACGGAAATTTCCTTTTTATGACGATATCTATAAAAACCATATATGTTGTTATTTGACACGACGCTATTCATAAATACCCTGGTATATAGCGGTAAGTAGTAAAGACATTGAGGTGTGGGACAATGAGAGCGTTGTTATAAACAACTGCGCGGGCGGAAAAAAGCCCTCGCCAAACCTTTTTGCGTGGGGTCTGTGCGGGCGCGGGCTATAGCCCTTGTCTTTGACACAGCTATTCAACTAGAAAAAGAGTGAAGCCTCCATAAAATGGACATGGCTCGGACCAGTATTATTGTCCGTTGAAAAGAGGTGTCCGCTGTCTGGGGGTTCCTTTAAGAGCGTTTTGATCACTTTGGAAAAAGATGTATCCGTTTTTGGGAGGTGTTCATTGTATAGAGATTCCGTCAATGGACGTTACACTGTACTTTCCCTTGAACATTGGGCATTGGGTATGTGTTTCGAATTCACTGAGATAAGACCATATGAGCACATGCTCTTTCCCAAGCAGAGTCAAAATAACAGTTTTCCATTAGCAAACTTAGAATCTTTCCAAGGCCATATCTCACTTGACTGTTCACATATTTAACTTATTTTACACATTTGGAAGTATTCCATGGTGTTCTTTTATGTCATGTGGCTGAAATTCAAAAATTTTTAAAAGAGTTTTGGTGTGACCTTCCACTTACGAACTTTATTGCTGTTGTGTTGGGAAACCCTTGTTTAAAGTCTTAAAGCTGACAAATCTATTTTCCTCTTCAGGCCTCTAGTTACCAGACAACTGTTGTTGTTTCTCAACCTGGTATGGCTACAGGGGCTCCGCAAGTGATGGTTGCCCCACCAAACCACATGGCATTGTCTATAATTACTTGCCTGTTTTGCTTTTGGCCTGTCAGTCTTTTTGCAATCATCAAGTCAAATGAGGTAAGAATGAAACTCCCATTCACTAATTGTTGCTCATTAAATAAGTTGCGTTGTTTATCAGACTTCTTTGTAGAGCCTGTTATTCTGTACCCAGCGTCCGTTATTGAACAGATCCTTGATAAAGTACATGCACCAATTTAATTCCAGATATCCTGTTTGATTGATTCAGGGGTGGATACAGAATAACAGTTGAAAGTCGCACATTAAAACTAACCAGCAAGGGCGGAGCCATTATGGGAGCCCAACCCCTGGAACCAGACCAACTAGGTCTAATTTTATAGGCAAAAACCATGAAGTTTACCGTGTCGAGTATTTCAACCACTATAAATAGAAAAATAATATTTTCACCAAGCTCAAAAAAGTTATCTTGATTTTTGGTCTAAGATATTATTTCCATGTCTTGCAAGGGTTGATGTTCGAAATGCGATTAGTCCGGCTAACCAAGACTGATACACTTCGATCGATGAAACGCCTCAATTGGAGACCCTTCTCTTTAAGAGCGAAAGCTGCGACATACACCAACGAGGTTCGTAGGGCTTACAGTAGTTCTGAGGGTGGCGACGTGAGTGGGGAAATATTTCAAAGTTTAACCAGCCTGAAACGTTCATATCATATTTATGCGACACTGGCAACGTTCTTAAAAATGTACTCTTCACGGTCACTGTCTTTGAATTTCTTCTATATTAAATTGAATCGTAGCATTGGTTGTGAGATCGACCAGTCGGTCCTGTGGCTGAATGACTGAAGACAAAAACTAAATTATGAAAATCTGACGGTCTTCCGTGCGACACCCTGTATCCGTCCCTGCATTGATTAAAACCGCCTCGCATATTTTTTTGCATAAAAGCGCCTATATAATGTAGCTCAATGTAACTGAATTTAAGAGTTTTTTATCAAGTTCAATTTTCGTCGATATTTTGTGGTGACTAATCTTGTCCTTTTCAAAATTTTATCTGGTTGTCCAAAAAAACCACTCCACTAAAAGATATAAAGTTTGAATAAGTGACTGATGGAGAAATCTCCTTCTCCAGGCCCCCTCACTTAAACATCGAGTTTTGAATCCCCCGGAAACCCCCTTCCTCTTTGAGCGAGCGCACGTACTGTATCACAAAGCAAGTGTATCAATCCTTTTATATGCTGATTATTTCCACTGCAAACGTTTTTTGATATACCTATCCTCATTGCTTACTGCTTGATTGTTCAGGTTGATAATGCCACGAGCCGTGGAGACATAATGGCTGCCCATGCTGCATCTGCAAGTGCCAGAAAGCTGTCTTTGATAAGCATCGGTATAGGGGTGTGCACCTACATTCTTATTGTTGTCTTGGTCGTTATCCAGGTTGCCGCGGTATCAGCAGCTTCCAGTAACTACTACTAATGTAGACTGTGCAGGGTTGCGACCAGCACGATATGGCTTCGCCCCTGAATTATCAGTGGCAAATTATTTTGAGTACAAAAAACTATTTGATTATCAAGATGATCAAAATGTAACTTGCACCCCTTTTAGAGTTCTATGCAATATTGTAGCTTGAATATCTTGTTGTAACTGATTATTTCACAAGTCATTAACTGCATTAAATAATAGCAGCACAATTATTATGTAAATCTGAAATAGGAATGTATGTATCTAATCTAAATTAAGAATGTATGTATCTCAACTCTATAGTTTTTCGTTTGTTATCTCAAATTGTGCATGATAAAAATACACCGCCTTTCTGGCTTCTTTGACTCTTCCTTTGACATGCTCCCTTGTCCTTACAAACATGTATGGTATTCTTGGTGTACAGTCATACTTGCATTCGTGTTTCATATTCATATTAAGCTATTCAATACACAAAATGCCTGCAGCATAAGAAAAAATAAGTTACAATTCGAGCTATAGAACAATTTGATATATATATATACAGGAGAAGAAGTGGTTTCTGTTAAGGCCTATTTGAAAAAAGCAAACATTTGAGTAAGCTAAAGCTTTTCATCTGACACTCTTCAGAGTTCAAAACGTCAGAACGTATAGGTGAAAACGAACTCCTTTTGTCTACACAATAGCGTTTTTTTCGTGATTATGTAGATAGATTCCAAAACTGCTAGGTGGAACGACGATCGGGCTCTACCAATACACTCTTTTTTTATAAGAACAATTTGATAATAACACGAACCTCAAAATTGGTCAAAAGTTAAGAACAAATAAAGAACAAGCTGAGGCTGAAGTATTGTAAAATGTAATTTTAAACAACGTTTCATCTCAAAAACGAGGATTTTGAACCATTGGTAGGTGCTTTTCAGTGAATTTTCAAACTTGTAGGCAAATGAAGGTTGTCTCACTCACTTTGTTGGCAAATGAGGCCTGCACACCTCCCTAAAGCGAAAAGGCTAGGACTCGCACTGCTTACACCCTATTAGATTAAGAACAAATTAAGAACAATCCAGCCTCAGATTTTCGGAAAAATTAAGAACAGTCAGTCTGAACTTAAATTTACTGGTTCTCATAAAAAAGTGTAGTTAAAATAGACAGGCAGTGGAATAGTACAACCAGGAGAACCCTCAGCATCAATGGAACATGATCGTGGAAAACGATACCAGCCACGCTTGAAAGTTTATCCAGGTAATATAGACATCAAAGCTGGCAAACAAAATAGACTTTCAAGCAAATAGTTCAGCGATTTCCAATATCTAGAATATAACGTCAAAAATGATGCAGCCAATTGCTATGTGTGTTGCTTGTTTCCGAAAGGACCATTAACGGAGTTAAGCAATGGCACAAAATGAAGAGTGTCGGTGAAGGAAAAAAGGAAAGCTAATAGACAGGACATATAGCCTGACAATCTGACATTCAAGCTAATGTTTGCTTTCTCAACGGATTCTGGTAGTAGAAAGTTCAGGCTTTCATAATCTGCCAGGTGACTTTTTTGAAAATGCCTGGATGTCACGTGACTGATGACGTCATTTAACGGTAAAAAGTCAGACAAAATCATCGCTAGCTCCTCACTAAAGGGTTATTTTTTAACGCAACTTACATATATTGACTCGTCTCATTGCAAGCTTTCAAATGATATGTATTTAAGCAAGATTTGCCGACATAAGTATTTTTATTATGACGTCATAACAAATTTTGCATGACGTCATCAAATATTTTATTGTCATAAAATGATACGTTAGCATAATTTTGTTTTAATATGACGCTGGCTGTCAGCAAAAGCTTTTCTTCCATATGTTTTTCAATCAAAATAATTAGTATTTAGTTGATTTAAATTGAATTTGTGCCAACCGCAATAGCCAAAGTTTAAATAAAGAAGTCGTTACTATCTGACGAGTGAGTCACTTCTTTCTCCGAAGATGCAAAGTCTTGCTCCATATTTGAACCGGGCAATGATTTCTCTGCATCCGCATTTGAATGTTACACTAAATCGGAAGAATGTCTTGGCAATATAGGCTATCCAAGATGTCCTACCGATGTGCTGAAGGTGCATGACTTTTTTCAATAAGGCTATCTTCTGCTGCGAAATAAGGCCATCTCATAAATAAAATACTCCATCTGCCATTTTTCTGATGGTGGATTTATATATGGATTTGTCTCCTTACACATGAAATTAAGAAGAACAGCTTTATCTCCTTGTCACAGTACACCTTCAGGAGTTGCAAGACTAGAGTTATGGTTTTGATGGGATATGAAAATGCCTTTTCGATAGAGGCAGCCTTGCCAATCACGAAAGCTTGGTGGTCTTCGTTCATTATTGAGACTGCTTTCGCTGTTTTCTTGGATCTTTGTGCCTCAGAATGCAGCTTAAGTTTCTGACTATACTTTCGTTTCTAGCAACAACCTACCATTCGAGCAAAATAGCTCATTTCTTTGAAATATTTCTTCCATGTTAGCGCTAGTGTCATCAGTCCGTGAGAACATTTTGTAAAAACGCCACCCGAAAACGCCAGATGGAGATTTGATGAGACGGCCTGAGTTCGTAGCATCAAACCCAAGGAAACATTCAGTGTTTGGTTCAAGAACATTCATGGATGTGCTAATCCTCCTTATGAGGCTAAAGCAATGAAAGTGGAAACAAAGTCAACGCTAAATATTTAGAAACAGCACACGAGCAAGCAAACGGCAAAAGAGAGTCATCAAGGCAAGTGCATATAAAAAGTGGAGAGCAAAAGATACTCCAAAGTAAGAAGAGTATTTTTACATTGATGAAAAAAAGAGAATCTTATGAGACTTGCTCCCGAATTCTTTCAAAGCGCTGAGGGTCACAGGCCCCTGACAATTCAATTTATCGTAGCTTAAGGAGGAGAAGCATCGGAGACTTCAAAAAGCAAGTAGAAGTCCTTCCAAGATGTAACCACAAAAAGGCGGAAACCAGAATATTTTGCATGGTAACTCGAAAGATGCAAAAGTAGTTGCTGTTGCAAAAGATACTGATTTATGTGTGCTGCTTGTTCATGCAACACAGAAGTGCAAACCCACAAATTAGTGGTTTATGTGCATAAATAACAAACAAATCGTCAAGATTTGAGGCATCGCTGAAACTTTTGGTTCCAAAATTTGCTGTATTTTATCACAGATTAATGGAATTGTGGGCTGAGACAACTGCATATAAGCACAACATTAATAAGGTTACTGTGAAAAAAGCTAACGAGGAACCAGAAACAAGTCATCATTAAAAGTCTCTCCAAAGGAGTTATCGCAAAAGCAAAGACATTCGCGAAACAGCAGAATATAGTGGAACAACATATAAAAGCTATTTAGGGACAAAGATATTTATCAAATCTGAAAAAATCATCTGCAGCAGTTCCAGCAGATCCATAATCACTCAATCAGAAAAGAATTAAATTGTATCAACTTAACAAGGTTATTTTGGCTACACTGTTTAGGTGCAACTACTGCAAGACATGTCCCAAAAGCCTGCTGTTGAAATTTGGACGACATACTCGACCGTCTAAATGGTTCACAGGAAAGCAACTTCCTCATCTCCGAGAGCTTCCTTTACATCACAAGAATATGAAGGTGACGCAGGAGATGAATTTACCCATTAAGAAAATCATACACTTTCATACCCAGCGCTAAAGACCTATAGTACGAAGACATCTTGGTCAACCTATAATAGTGCGAAGATATTTTCCGACTTAGCAACAGTCAAATGCAGATGCAGAGAAATAATTGTCCGGTTCAGAGTGGGAGCAAGACTTTGCGACTTCGGAGGAAGAAGTGACTCACTCGTCAGATAGTGACTACTACCTGTTTCGAACTTTGGCTATTGCGGTGGGCACAAATTCAATTTAAATGAACTAAATACTAATATTTTAATTGAAAAACATTTGGAAGAAAAGCTTTTGCTGACAGCCAGCGTCATATTAAAACAAAATTATGCTAACGTATCATTTTATGACAATAAAATATTTGATGACGTCATGCAAAATTTGTTATGACGTCATAATGAAAATACTTATGTCGGCAAATCTTGCTTAAATATATATCATTTGAAAGCTTGCAATGAGACGAGTCAATATATGTAAGTTGCGTTAAAAAATAACCCTTTAGTGAGGAGCTAGCGATGATTTTGTCTGACTTTTTACCGTTAAATGACGTCATCAGTCACGTGACATCCAGGCATTTTCAAAAAAGTCACCTGGCAGATTATGAAAGCCTGAACTTTCTACTACCAGAATCCGTTGAGAAAGTAAACATTAGCTTGAATGTCAGATTGTCAGGCTATATGTCCTGTCTATAATGCCAGAGGCGGATCCAGAGTGAGTTCCTTGGTGTATAGAACTCAGTCAGTTTTCCAACATACATCTAAAAATAGTGTTGCCTGAAACAAGTGATATTGAAATTAAAAAATTGAAACCTAAAAATTCTAAGTTTTATCACAGTCTCTTAAAAATCTTAAAATTGCCAGACTGATGTAATTTGTTCTCCCTTTCCCTTCCTTCTTCTCTGTCTTGATTTGTACACGATTTTCATGACGCTGTGGAGGACAACAGCAATCAATCCTAGAACTCGGAAATAAACGTTTTGTGCCTCGGAAGTGAATGAATTGTTTTGAACACGAATGGAACTCAGTCAAAACAGCATCTGGAACTCCGAAATGATACCATATTTGTAAGAGAGCTGTACAATGGCCCGTAGTTGATTGGCTACCTATTGTTTTTGAGCAGAGGGGAAAATTGCACTTGCCATACGCGAAGAGCTCACAGGGAGACAAAAACAAGCTTTTTGTTTTGGCCCTAGCAACGAAATTGAACCTGTAGTGATGGATAGCCATCTTAGTTTGGTCTCGTTTTAAACTCACACATTTTTCGCGCCTTTTTTCAAATAATGGAAATGACGTGATATCCCTTTGTTGTTTAAGACACATGACTGTCAAAGCAACATTAAAAATTTTGAACAAAAGGTGAAAGATAGCTAGCGAAAGCGAAAATGGCGAGTTCTTCGATCATTTTTCTATGTTTTGTTGTTCTTTTATACGTTTATATTTGCGTCGGAAGTCCCAAAGACATTTATCGGTCCAAAAATGGATGTGTTGTTTGCGGAAGAAAGTGGCAGAAATACAGAAAATTTTCGACAACCGCGTCAATTTCCACTGCAGAGCTGCAAAAAGCTTTTGGAAACGTATCCGGAAAGGGGGACATTTGCTCGTGCTGTTCTAGAGAGATTTCCAGGTGGAGGACGACGGGAAAAAATTGCAAGGTATAGTTAATAATCAAAATTTTACCGATGAGGCCTACTAAC